CGCGCTCTTCTCTTAAATGTTTATTATTATTATTATTATTATTATTATTGTTGTTGTTGTTGTTGTTGTTGTTTTTATTTGCTTTGATTTCTGGCGTGTACACATTTCTTTGGCCCAGAGAACTAAGGTTAGAAATGGCATCATGACACTTTCCACTGACAAAAAAAAATATTTTACATAGATGGTATTTATCAATTCACCCACAGGAATTGAATGTGGCACAAGGCCTTTTTAATGTGGGTATGTCTGAGCCCGTAGGCCCAGCCAAAAATAAAACCCATCTAAACCCGTCCAAGCGGGCTAGTTCCGTCAACCTCCCCGAACGAAACCCCACCCTTCGGCGGAGCCTCGTCCGGGTTCCCCTCTGCAAGCAGAGAGTTCGACAGACACCCGACCCGGCAGCTCACAAAGCGCAGATACTACACTTTGATCCTAGCCACCGGGCCGAGCGGGTATACATTTTATTTTACATAGATAAAGCCCTTCGTAAGTGTGGGCTGTACTTGTGAGAACAATTTTTTTATATTTCTTTGAGGCATGGACTTCCAGGAATCCCTTCAATTAGTCTACTGGAATCTTTTCCAACCAATCTGAGTGCTCCAACTACAACAGGGATTGTTGATGTTCCCATGTGCCATATGGCAGGAAAGATGAGGATAACAGTCCGAACAATGTAAATAATTTCAATACCTCATCTCAGAAATATAGGCAGATATCAAAAGAATTGACGTAACTGTTCCAATATTTTTCATTATTATTATTATTGTTATTATTATTATTATTACGAGACCATAAGGAAGGAGAAGGGTAAGGAGGCTTCTTCCTGTAAATAAAAAAATATTATTATTGAAAATATTTTTGTACAGGCCTGGGAATCAATGAGCGATTCCTTGAAGGGGTTGATGGTATAAAAAAAAAAACTTCTTTTTTTTTTAAACCGTAAGTTCTATGCTAATAGTTTCTTCCCTCGCACTTCTCGCTTGTGGGATTCTCCCCCGTTCACTTGCTTTCTTGTCAACTACTATCTTCAATAATTTACATTCAACTTCAATCGGCATCCTCTGTCTCTTTGAGACCTCCTCTCTTCTCACTAACGTTTTCTCCGTTTCTTTTAACCTCAGTAACCCCCATTACGTCTTAGTGGCTCTATCGCCTTCCTTGGAGGTGAAATGATTAGGAAAAAAAAGCTATCCTAGATGGAAGACACGGAGGTGGTGCAGTGGTTAGCGATTTCGAAACAACAAATTAGTGAGTCGAGTTCGTTACATTAGTTCTGCACTGATACAATCGGGAAAGGTATGAATCTATCTCCTTTGGTATAGCCACGTGGCTGATTGGTTAGAACTGTTCGCCTTTCTGACCATGAGATCCCGGGTTCAAATCTCACCATGGTTGATTTGTTAAGAAGCTGACTTCTTAATACTATCTGTCTTGAGGAGGTGATTCCAGGGCGCGGCACCTTAGGAAAGTACCTGAAAACCATACCACTGGTATCCAAGCCGTGTGAGTGAAATTGGATAGACGGAAACCTTGGGAGCCGTCGGTGTTTGTGCTAGCACGAAGTCACAAGTCATCGTGACCGAGGGATTGAGTGTGCTGGACCTTTTAAATCACGCTAGATAATGCGGTCTTCCCAGAAACTGTAACTAAAGGCTGCTCAGAATAGTTGCAGTATAATGGGTGAACAAAGACAAATGTGTCAGAGCACGTAAGTTTGTTGAGCATTAATCTTGCTAGAAAAGGAATATATATATATATATATATATATATATATATATATGTATATGTGTGTATATATATGTGTGTGTGTGTGTGTGTACAGATGAGTTCACTGACTCCTCGTAGTGTGACAATGTGTATGTATGGAGAGGGATATACACATATATGCACGCATTCTGACAGAAACGCACGAAAATGGAAATAGATCTAAGAACACACAGGGGTCATTAAAAGATAAGAATGCCGATAACTACTCCATTTCTCCTGAGCAATCTCAATTGTTTTATAAACCTTCACACAGAACCCTTCACTGCCAGTTCAAGAAAGACATTTTGGTCACTAACAGAAAAATAAAATGTCTCATATCGTGAATATTTAACATCGAAAAACATAAAGGAAAAAATTAATTATTTTTAATAATATGTGGAAATATCCACCCTTTGTCTGATGAGGGTCGCCAGACCAGAAACACGTGTAGTAAAATTATGAAAAATAAAGCATAATAATTTTTTTTTAAATCCACATTACATCCAAACACGTTTTCGGTTTCTTTCTTCTTTTTAATATACACACTTTTCTCTCGTTGGAACTCCTGTAAACTCTTCCTTATATATATATATATATATATATATATATATATAAGTAGTAAGGTTGTCCTCTTTAGCCTTCGCAGCTAGTCTTAAAGAAAGACAAATGTGAATTTAGAACTGGTTGTACACAAGGCTAGCAACATTATTCCTTACAAACCTACTTGTAAATGAAACCTACCACAAGAAGTTTAACTAGTCGAGAACCATGGCCTCAAACTCCACGTTGGAGTCTCAAGGACTTGAGTTTGTGAGGCTTAGATTAATCAAGTAATTATACTCTGCTTATTCGAAAAGAGAGCTGAGGTTACATGGCCTCCACTCAGGTCATTTCATCATTAAGTGTATCTATTTTTTTTATTTATTTAGCAAGTAGTATTCAACGTGTTACTATGAAGGCTACAGTCTGGCATGTGACTGTGACAAATGTATTCTTGAGGGAAAAACCAATATCCGAGACATTCGTCTGGCGTAAAATCAGATTGCATGCGAAATTCTAACTCACGTTGAACTCAAGACTTAATTTATGGACATTATTGCAAATTTAAAAGAGAAAGATATAAATTGCGAACAATGTAAGACAAAGGCCGCTATCTAAAAAAAAAAAATAATGTTGAATCTTGTAAGAAGTTTGGAGCCGACAAAGCAATAACAAAATTCCTCGGGAAAAAATAATTCATACAGTAAAAACTGTGAACAACTTGGGTTCAATTATAGAAACACGCTGGTCTAAATACGCAACAGAGTTGTCTGACGACAAAACAAGAGACGGTGGTAAAAAGAAATGGTATGACCGCAAATCAGTCTTGTTCCTATTGCCAATTACCATGGGTTACTCTAAAAATTAAATTGTGTGTCCATAAATCTAAGGCTACCAGAGAAATAAAACAGTAGGACAACAAATCGGAACTTGTACTCGACAAAACGTATGCAGGAAACACCCATCTTGCGGCCTCAGCCGAGATTGAACTCACCAATACTTTGATTAGTGTAGTTCATAATCTTTCAAATAGCTGAATTCTTGATGCTTCGCTAGGGCTATCAAGGGTGTTTTTTTATCGTGACACCATCACTAAATGGATTGCCAACCAAGGCTCAGAGAGACTCCATTCACCATCATTAAGAGCAGGTTTGAATTCAGAGTTTTCCTTCTCCTAGACCAGTTTCCATCCAAGGCTATAGAACCGAGTCTGTCCTGCTATTTACCCATAGCTGGAGGGAGAAGAGAGAGGATTCACATCTTTCCCAATGGTATTAGCACGTAAGTGAATGTAATGGATTCGACTGGAATTCGAACTCGGCTCTCCGATTCCTCAATCCAAGCCGCTATCCATTACTCCACCGACGCCTCCCCGCAGGTGGTAATCATCAGGCCTTGTGTAACGACGTGAAAATTAGAAAAGGAAAAAGGAGTTAGACGTTTGAAAGAATCAGAGCATATGCTATGCTATGAGGACCCCATTAGTAGGCCTAGCATAGAATTTTTTTTTTTTTTACTTTTTGATATGGGATTTTAATATTAGCCACAAGTGATGAACTAATTTTCGGTCCTGGACACTAATTTCCTTCATCGTCGCGGAGGAGTTGTGCCATTGAGCTGAATATCTCAATGGCGCAGTCCCTTCGCGACGATGAGTGAAGGAACGATTTTTTTTATTCTAAGGTAGCGGTCTGGAATCTGTGAGAGATTTGGATGCTGGCTGATCGCTGACAAAAGATAGTCGAGAATAATGGACTCTATTTTTAAGAATAAATGTTGCTGTTGCACTATAATTATTTTTTTTCTTTGCGATTCCTAATTGAGTCTAGACTTTCTGGACAAAATAATACTAGCATTGACATTACCATTGGGTCCGTTTATTGCTTGTAACGCAGTCGTCGTAGAAGATATCTGGATGGTTCAGTGCCATTTTCAGTTCTAATGCTTGGATTCTTCGCTATAATTCTTGATTATATGTCCAAGAATATCAGACGCAAAGAAAGCTTGCGAAGTCTAATTAACGCAACAGTCTGATCTTCGACCACAGGTAGATGCTCTTGTCTTTCCATATTGTGTTTAGGTTTACTTAAGAACATCTATCTATCTATCTATCTATCTATATATATATATATATATATATATATATATATATATATATATATATATATATATATAAGTCTGTTCATATCTATCTCAGTCGATTCATTATCTATCTATCTTAGTCTTTTCTTATTTATCTTAGTCTTTTTCATTATCTATCTATCTATCTATCAGTTTTCATTTCTCAGTCCATTAATCTATCTATCCATTCATTTATATATATATATATATATATATATATATATATATATATATATATATATATATATATATATATATATTAATCTGTTCATTTCTATCTCAGTCCATTCATTATCTTAATGACAATGCTCCAGATGTCGAGCACCCAATCAGGACCGAAATCACAACATTATCGATTTACTATGCGCTATGGTAGGCGCTCACTGTAAAATACTTATTGACGTCATCTTAGTAAAACGGCTCTGAACTGGTTTACTGCACAAAGAAAAAGTCACAAAAGATCGAAGCAGTTCAGTAGTTAACACAGACAATTTTAAGAATTTTAATTCATATCCAACTGCAGATTCTCGACATTTTTTTTATTTACAAAGATAAAAGATGTAAGATTTTTGGCGGCAGAATGAAGCATCGTGTTATGAAAAAGAATTGAACCAAAAAATGGTGATAAAAATGTTAACAAAAGAACGAATTTCTACTGCGATTTGCACCTGAACGAAAATAAAGAAAAGAAAAGACGAGTGAAATGTTTTTAACTTTTCAGCTCGAGTTCGCCTTTGTTCATCGATGTATTATCAGGACCTGAAGACATATGAGACTGTGTATATATATATCTATATATATACAGAGAGAGAGGGGTGGAGAGATAGAGGGAGAAAGACAGAGGGAAACAGAAAAAGAGATAGACAGATAGATACGTGCATATAGTGAAAACCATAGATAGATAGGCGATAGATATGAAAACTGAGGATAGATGATAGATAGATAGATAATTGAGATAGATAGATATATATGAAAAAACTGATTTAGATAGATAGATAGATAAATAGATAGATAGATAATGAAAAGACTGAGATAGATAGATAGATAGATAGATGATAATGAAAAGACTAAGATAGAGATAGATAATGAAAAGATAGATAGATAGATATTGATAATGAAAAAGACTGATAGATAGATAGATAGATTGATAATGAAAATAGATAGATAGATAGATTGAATGAAAAGACTGAGATAGATAGATAAATAGATAGATGATAATGAAAAGACTGAGATAGATGATAGATAGATAGATAATGAAAAGACTGAGATAGATAGATAGATAATGAAAGATAATGAAAAGATAGATAAATAGATAGATAGATAATAGATGAGATAGATAGATAGATTGATAATGAAAAGACTGAGATAGATAGATAAATAGATAGATAGATAATGAAAAGACTGAGATAGATAGATAGATTGATAATGAAAAGACTAAGATAGATAGATAGATAGATAAATGAAAGACTAAATAGATAGACTGATAATGAAAAGATAGATAGATAGATAGATAGAATGAAAAGACTAGATAGATAGATAGATAGATAATGAAAACTGAGATAGATAGATAGATTGATAATGAAAAGACTGAGATAGATAGATAGAAATAGATAGATGATAGATAATGAAAAGACTGAGACATAGATAGATAGATAGATAGATAGATAGATAGATAATGAAAAAAGATAGATAGATAGATTGATAATGAAAAGACTAAGATAGATAGATAGATAGATAAAAAGACTGACATAGATAGATTGATAATGAAAAGACTGAGATAGATAGACAGATAGATAGATTGATAATGAAAAGACTGAGATAGATAGATAGATAGATAGATAGATAGATAGATAATGAAAAGATAAGATAGATAGATAGATAGATAGATAGATGATAATAATGAAAAACTGGGATAGATGGATAGATAGACAGATAGATAGATTGATAATGAAAAAGACTGAGATAGATAGATAGATAGATAGATAGATAGATAGATAGATAGATAGATAATGAAAGACTGATAGATAGGATAGTTGTGGTAATGAAAGGATCCATAGATAGATTTGCATTGTGGTAGGGAGTACCGACCATATAAATATGGTTGGTACTGGGAAGAATCAAGAGATTCAACCAGAGACTCTGTCCGACTGCGACTCAGTCAACACATTCTCCAGGAAAGGTCTTACCAGGAATATAAAAAGACTATATGTAAATATTGTGTACACTTTCTTGTTTCAAAAAATTTTGTTCTAAGTACATTTTGTGTTGCATTATTATTCCATGCATTAGTCAAGTTTCAACACTGAGATAGATAGATAGATAGATAGAGATAGATAGACTGAGATTCAGTTTAGATCCATCGTATTATTTTTTCGTATTCATTCTCTCGAAAAGAAAGCACATTTTTCTGCTGCGTATTCAGTCGGCAAAAACAACACGAACAATTTTGCAATACGCTCGATTCGCAGACATTATGTAAATTTCCATCATTAATGTGTTTTTTTTATGTACCATTTTGAAAATGAGTTTTTCCCCCCCGCCCCGTAACATGGGATTATCTCTTTTTTCTTGAGTGGATTCAGTTTTACTTTCATTTTTTTTTTCTGCTTTTTGATATGTGATTTTAATATTAGCCACAAGTGATGAACTAATTTTCGGCCCTGGACAATAATTTCCTCCTCAACCTCTTGGAAAACTAATTTCAGCAAAATCACAATTTCTGGTGAATTCAATTCTACAAAGTTTATACTGAATAAATATAATATATTGAGTTTGAATATATACATGGATGCATATATATATATATATATATATATATATATATATATATATATATATATATGTATATGTATGTAAAGAAAGAACAGTAAGATATATAATCCGGTATTCTTATTGATATTCTTCTTTTTACAAAATAGTGCTCATTGTAAATTTACAGAGCATTAATATTATAAATTAATTGATTTAAAATATGTTTTTTTCGCTACACAGTAATAACCATGTTTCAAAAATGGAAGGTAAAAGCTTCAAATTTAATTTTTAACTTTTGTTTAACTTTTGCAAACTTCTATTTCATCCTCAAGCGAATTTTGGAGTCCAAAATTCGCTTGAGGATGAAATGGAACTAAGGCTTTTAATTAAATTACAAAATTAAATTTAAAGCTTTTAGCTTCCATTTTTGAAACATTGTTATTACTTTGTAGCGGAAAAAATATTTTATATCAATTAATTTATATATATATATATATATATATATATATAAATATAGATAACTAGACTCGTTTCGAAAAACCCTCGAATTTTTGATTTGCTAATCAAATCAATCTCGAGGGAAAAAAAGGTTTTAAAAAAAGAAAGATCTACGAACATGGACTTCTGCCGACAAAAAAATCGCACAGATGCAGGTCTGAAGCCCAAAGAAAAAACCCCGATACGAGTAACAACTAACTAACAAAAGAGCTCAATACAACCGTAGAGCAGACCTAGATACACCTAGTGAGCCAGACAAACCTACCTAGGTTTCACCTAAACGGATCGTCAGGGAAAGTTTGGCAAAGAGAAACACACATATTTATAGGTGATAGCTAAAATCATACCACGTGACAAAATAAAAAACAAAAAAACAAAAACAACCTAAGTGGTGGGGGGGAATATTTATTCAACAAAAAAAAAAAAACCTCAGTGGAAAGTCAATAACGGGAAAACGTCTAATTTAGTAGCCAAGATTTTTTATGTATACATACATTGAGAATTTCAGTTTTAGAGTTTAATAGTTGGTTGGGTTGATCATATAAAGCTATGGCTAATTTCTCCTCAGCACATAATTTGCAAAATTTATGGCCTGCTTTATATTTTGGGCATTTTTTTAATATTTCCCATTTAAGGATGGGGTCTATATTATCTTGTTTGGTTTTCCATACGTAGGTAGATAGCGTGGTACTATGTTTAATTTTTGTATTCTTAAAACTACTCGTGTGGTTATAATATCTTTTTTTAAATTTATCTGAGTAGCACCTATGTATGTTTTTAGGATTAGTATCCTCAGTATTTTGTAAATTTTCACTTGATACACCACGCATTCCTGCTGGCATTTTCCCTGTAATGGACAGATGTTTTTGTTTCTACAATTACAAGTAGGAGGATTACTACGTGGATCATTCCAAGGTTTTTTCTTATTCAATCCATTTATAATTGTCCCTACGTTCGGCATACAACAATAACTAAGTTTTACATTGTTTTTGTTAAATATTTTATGTAACTCAGTTTTTTTTGGGAAATGTTGTTCCAGTAAATTAAAAAATATCTTACCAATTTTAGTTTTTACCGCTAAATTGAAAGGGGGATTAAACCACAAAATTTTTCTTTGCCTATTATGTTTATTCCGAGTAATATTGTGGTTGTCTATATATTCTAATTTATTTTTATGTCCACTCTTAATTAGGGCTTGCTCATAACTTATTTTGTTGGCCTCAAAAATGTCCCTATTAGAGGAATTAGTAGAAAGTCTATACCCAATATTTTTAGAAATATGTCTTATAATATGGGCTGGGTGATTTGATTTTATGTGTAAATACTGGGGTTCTTGATTTTCTTTTTTTATACGGGGATATTGTGCCATTTTGTAAATTTAACGTAATATCTAGATAGTTGGTAATTTTCAAATTGGTTTCTATATCGAGATAAAATCCGAATTTTTTAAAAAACCAGTGCAGTTTTTTACGAATGTTGTCACATTTTTGAGGGTTACTATTGTCCACTATGATTAAACCGTCGTTATTGATTTTCCACTGAGGTTTTTTTTTTTTTTTTTGTTGAATAAATATTCCCCCCCCCCATTTAGGTTGTTTTTGTTTTTTTGTTTTTTATTTTGTCACGTGGTATGATTTTAGCTATCACCTATAAATATGTGTGTTTCTCTTTGCCTCGTTAGCCAAACTTTCCCTGACGATCCGTTTAGGTGAAACCTAGGTAGGTTTGTCTGGCTCACTAGGTGTATCTATATATATATATATATATATATATATATATATATATATATATATATATATATGAATAAAAAATGACAATAGGAAAACTGGTAATTGCTGACGCGTTTCGTCCAATGTGGAAAAATAGCAAAATACGAAAATGAAATTAATTGAACAAAGTAACAAAAACAGAATGTACCTAGCAACTGGAATGTAGAGAAACGCTATTTTCATATTTTTAACTGAAAATAACGTCAGTATTTGTCTTCACTACTGGTTAAATCGGAGAAATTTTCATATATATATATATATATATATATATATATATATATATATATATATATATATATACAGTATGTTTGAAGTTATTATACAAATCAAATAAACCTCAATAGCTCAAAAAGTTCTGAGCCAATATTTCCATTGTTATTCAAATATTTAGCAAAATTGTCTGCCATTTTTGATACTTAGTTTTTGTGATATTAGGAATTTACGAAAATGGCCCGACTGAAGTTAGTCTGCCGATTAAACTGATATTAGCTTAAGACTTCTGAGATCTAATAAAAACTATTTTATTTCTTTTTGTCCATAATATATGCTGAAACGAAAAGGAAGGCTCTGACAACCGCTGAAAAATAGAAAATAACAAAGTTATTTAGTGTGGGAGTGTCCACATTGGAGATATCAAAGGAGCTTTTCAGAGATCATTGAATGACAAAGATGGCTGTTGAAAATATAAGTTGAGAACTGGCAGCAAAGAAAAAGACTTGAAGAATTTGCTTCCTCGAGAATACGTAAACTAAAGCGAGTTACAGAGAAACAACGACTTTTGTCCAGAGCTCAGGTCTTTTGATATGTCCCGGAAAGGGATATATTTGTTCGAAGTAGCAAAGTGCCTTTGGATTACTGTAACGAAGTAGGAAAATCTCGCAGGTAACCGTAATCGACTGGTCCTCGTCGTAGTGGTAGGCAATAGGCGTAGGCAATAAACAAAGACAATAGGTGTAGCCAATAGGCGTTCTTCTGTACCTCCACATCAGTCTGTATTTATGGCTGACACCAGCCAATCATATTACTGTGCGGGGAGAACCCAGGTGTGTGCATATTCATTACATCATCTTTGAAAAGGCTGGAATTGAGGGAGTCAAGAAGGATAAAAAAATGTGTCGAATAATTTGTGAATTGGGATTTGTAAAATAATCTATTTGTAAAATAATCTATTTGGCAACCTCTTCTCACGAAAGCAAATATTTTAAAGCGTCAAAATTGGGCCAAGAAATACATGAAAATTGACTTTTCTAAATAATTGTTACGGACGAATCTCGTTTGGCATTTGATGGACCTGATGGATGCGCGAAATCCAATTCAGACATTCCTGTGGCTAAACGAAAGCAACAAGGAGGCGGCAGTGTTATGACATAAGCTGGAACTGTCGACCAGACCATTATTTGTCACTCAAAGCCAATGAAGGAGTTGAACTGAACAGTGCTAACTATTTCGATTTTATAAACAAGATTTTCTTTGCATGGTACAAGTCCCAGTCTCGCAGTTTCAAATGAAGTGTGTATTTATGCACGACATTGCTCCTTTTCATGTATCTAAGCTTACCCATGATTTCTTTGAGCGTAAAGGATTTACAGGTGAGAAGATGATAGAATGGTCAATGTCAAGTCCTGACCTGAATCCATTCGAAAATCTATGGTCAATTGTGGAGATGAAATTATATGAAGGTGGTAAACAATATAACAGTAAAGCAGACCTATGGGTAGCAATTAAAACAACCATGTCGGAAAGTGAATCTGTTGATTCCTCTTCCTTTATTCTTCTCACCTCTCGCCTGTGGAACTCTCTTCCGGCTTCATGCTTTCCAGCCAACTTTGATCTTCAAAAGTTGAAATGCAATGTCAATTGTTATCTACTGTCTTCTTGATTCCTCTTCCTTTATTGTTCTCACTTCTCGCCTGTGGAACTCTCTTCCGGCTTCATGCTTTCCAGCCAACTTTGATCTTCAAAAATTTAAATGCAATGTCAATCGTTATCTACTGTATTCTTACTTCTTGTTCTTTTATTATCCTCTCTCCTTAATGGTAGTTTTTATCATGTTCTGTTACAGTCAGTAACCTCTTGCATCCTAGTGGCTTTATTGCCTTCCTTGGGGTGAAATGATGAAAATAATATTTCAGTAGAGAAAATGGGTTAAAGTGATTTTAACATAGTCTTGTGAGGTTTTGAAAGCCATAAAAACCACGTGTGTGTGTGTGTGTGTGTGCAGCGAAGTTCTTTTTTATGTGACGTGTTCCTTCGGGACGTAGGCAATCATGGCTCTCCACCTTTTCCTGTCTCTTGTAGCTTTTAACAAATTTTATCTTTTTTGTCATTTCCACCAGACCCTGTTCTGCCATCCACTTGTCCAAGCCCATTCCCTTTGTCACGCGTTGCTTTCCCCTGACCATTTTTCCCTCTATCTTGTGAGTATCAGATTCTCCAAGCCCTCCTTTCTCATTACGTGTCCTAGAAACTGCAACTGCGTCTTCCTGATGTTATGTATAAGTTTCCTATTTGTTTCCATTCTCTCTTCGGCCCACGATATCCTCAGCATTGTTAGCAAAGCAATGGGACGAAAAATAAGACCTTAGAAAGGGCAAAAGAACTCTCGATGAGTCAACGGCCAGCTAACTAGAGGCGGTCTCTCCATAACACCCCTCGGGGGGAGGAAGGCAACGGGAAACCACTCCACTATTAATTCTAAGATAATGATTGTGAAGTTACGAAACCCATAAAAATCCTGTATGTTGTGAGTTTGCAAAACCCATGCTGTGAGGTTATTAAACCCCAGAATTTTATAGTTGAAATTGTTGACCATGTTTGTTGCAGTCTCTGAATATGGAATCCAGCGAAGTCCGTAATGTGTTCAATATCAGAGGTCGGCAGTGTAGATTCGGAGAAAGTAGCGGTTGTTAAGTAATTCTTTAAGTCTTCGATATCAGGTTGGCAGTGCAGACAATTTGGGAGAAAAAAAATGGCTGCCTTTATACACGTCGCATTGAATATTTTGAGCTTTCTGATTGGTTAACCCTTCTATTGGTGAACTATAAAATGAGTCAGCTCATTTAGGCTAGCTCACTA